GCACGAGATACTCTTCATATCTTTGCGGGCGTGGAGCTCAAAACAAGAGGTGTTTTGGTCCTAAGAAGTGCAGGGTAGTGAACTGCGCCGAATAATCATCAAGATGGCTATTTCGGTCCGCCTTTGGGGCAAATTTTAAAGACAAACTCTAGTGAGACCTCAGGATTAAAAACGTCTAGTAATAGCACTGAGTGGTGCCACTGCAGCACTGTCAAAAAACAAAAAGATCAGGTTTATTTTCGAGTCAAAATTACGCTGTCAACGATTTGTAATAGCACGATGCTTCTTCCTTGCAGTCACAAGCACTGTCGTCATGACAACCACCGTGCGCAGCTGTACTGTTGCGAATAAAAGAACATTTGTGATTGGCTCAGCAGGCAAGAGCCTGTTACCGAGAACTTCGCTGATTGAAGCTTGAGCCAGTGCGTCACACGGATCATTCCCGAAGCCAAAAAGCACCTCGAAAAGAGCCACTGCGGTAAACGCCATAGGGAAGAAAACAAAGCCATGGTATAATGTTTCGTTGAATTCACGGGATATTACCTTCATGTACTCATATCTTTTTGTCTAAACAGAGTGTATCCAGCTTTCGTATTATTTATTACACAAACTTTTTGGAAGGTGTGTGGCAAACATTACAAGACTCGTGCACGCTAAAAAAGCAAGGCAAATGAAACGCGCTTCTTTCATAGTAATGAGCGGGGAGTCAAATGAGATTTCTCCGGCAGGGTCGGCTACTTCAGATCGCAATTTTGAGTTGTTCCGAAGGATTTCGAGAAACTGATATTACTGATCAAATCGTGTGCGTCGGAGGTAACAATCAGCGCAAAGTACAAAAAGTTGGATACTCGAACCCGCCAGCTGACGTCACGACTCCAGCACGGAATGCAGGGCAGCGTCGGCAAATTGAGTGCTGCGAGGCCACAAACATAGCGGCTTAAACCCTAACATCCCTGATATGGTAGGGATATGAGACGCAGAAATACAAGCATCGTTTGAGCACGGGAAAAATTAGCTTTAAATCCTCGCGGTTCCCGATGTACAAACTGTCTGGAGCTCTGGCACTGAACTCCACTGTCATGACGCTGCTTGCTAATTTATGTGAATGTCGCAAGTGTTGAAATCGGGACATGCATGACTTCTGACTCATGCACGAGTCAGGTTTAGAGCGACATGCTTCATTTTCACGTGACTGATTCAATAAAACATTTCTCGCAGGAAGTCGATGTGACTTGGCTGGCGCTGGATGGAACTGTACATTGAGTATGAGCCGGCTTATGAGGATTACCGGTGGGACATCTTCAGTGATATCCTCGTCCTTGGTTGGACGAACGATGTGTACGCAAACGTGACTGCGTCTTGACGCGCTTGCCGATGGCTTTAGGCATCATGTACAGTAGGTCCCATGGTGTCAACCTTTTTGGAAACGTGTAGTGCACAGGGTTTCTTTGGTTCTTCGGCTCAAGGCGAGTTCAGTGGCACCATCTTTGTTAAAATTCAAGCACGTTTGGGGGGTCGCCAACCTTGGGCCAGTTGATGAACATTAGCATGAGCATGAACATTAGCATCGGCTGGAACACTTGAAACAAAGCCCTTAACGCTCTCTTGCTATGCTGATGCCATGTTTTTGGGCATAACATCGAGCAGATATGCTACTTGACCGAAGGGGAATACGATTTTGTTTTGGATGAGAGACAGAGATGAGAGAGATGAGATGATGAGATGAGAGACAGAGATGAGAGACCTATGTCTTTTTAACTGCTTTTGAGATGAGTGTCAAACATACTGTCGCAGCGAATGTGGCTCTACAGTCTGTACATAAACGCGATATGAGCATATTTGGCCCCTCTTCATCGCCATCTTATCTCACTTAGGCCTTTCTATTATTTTGTCCTCGACTTGGAGAACGAAAATGTTAAGCCATATCAACTAAACATTATGTGCTGAACAGACCTTCATGTTGCATCGTTATGTAGACTAATTAGTTATGATATTTTAAGGGCTATATTTTTAGTTATTATATTTTTCGTACTGTACTTTGCAACACATTGAAGTGTGTCCGGTGCTCGCTTATTTAAGGTGCCCATCTCCTATTGGTGGACTTTCATCTCCCGCAGAAGCCATTGCAACTGATCCTTATTACCGGCTACAATGCCTGTGAAAATTCGAATCATTGGTTCGCCCTTTCCTGCAACATGATCACAAACTTTTTCATACCGCTTCAAATAACGATAGAAAGAAAGCCATCGATGTCCTCCCATTGACCGAGCGGGTCGCTTAATGACCAGGCTAGCATCAATCTGAAGAAGCTGAAACACCAGCCAACGGATGCATCTACCAGATGTGACTTCTTCTTGTCCCAGTTGATGAACGGTACAACACCCCCATAACATTCGTCCATGACACAGGCAACAACCTTGAAGCCATGGCTGTGCTATACTTATCGCTGACACCAGCCAAACCCGGACGGAACGGGACCGTCTCAGCTCTCAAATCGACCACGTGTTGACACATGGCCAGCGCTATTCCGAGTACGGGCTTGTTAACCTTCCGGCAGTGCACAGGCTCTGGTACAGCCTCAGGTCTTTCCTTGGGACACCAGCGGACAGTGCACCCACATGGCTGTCTGTACCAGGGACTGCTGACGACCTTATCAATGACCTGAAGTCGCACCAGGACCTGTTGCACTACCGGCCGCTGACAAGTCAGTGATTGGAATAGCGTTGGCCGTGGTGCATCCTCGTTTGAGGCCCGAGACGCTCGTGTTCCGTCTGGTTTTTTGGGTGACGTCGACGGTAGTGCAAAAAAGGGTAATGAAAAAGCAAAAACTGGTGCTATCGTCGATTCCGGTAACGAATTATTTTGAAGATGCCATACAGTTTCCCAGCTGGGAGTGGAACGTTTTGGAGCTGTAAGATAATTTGTGATACTGATTGCGTAGAAAGTTAACCTATCACATGAATGATCAAATAGATCATTTGTAGGCATTAAGATAGTGTTCATAACAATTATTTGGCGTAGTAATGATGCAACGTAGAAGTCTGCATGGTACATATGATTGTATTTCGCATAGCTCGACATTTTCCGCTATCTTGAAATATGCCTAAGAGAGAACAGAAAATTCAAAGTGACGTCAGATGGTGTTACAGAAGGGATCATGATGTTGCATTTACATACACCATCGAGTCATTTTCGTCCCGAGGAATCGTGTAAAGCCCATTTGGTGCAATTTCAAATCATTCCACTTTTAAGATTCTCCCCTTCCCTTCCCTTCCCTCCTCTCCCGTTCAATGAAATTATCTACCAGCTAGATGCTATGGTCGAAAACGTGGAAAATGAGAACGGTAAGACACAGAGAGGGGAAGAGAGAGAGAGAGAGAGAGAGAGAGAGAGAGAGAGAGAGAGAGAGAGAGAGAGAGAGAGAGAGGAGAGAGAGAGAGAGAGAGAGAGAGAGAGAGAGAGAGAGAGAGAGAGAGAGAGAGAGAGAGAGAGAGAGAGAGAGAGAGAGAGAGAGAGAGAGAGAGAGAGAGAGAGAGAGAGAGAGAGAGAGAGAGAGAGAGAGAGAGAGAGAGAGAGAGAGAGAGAGAGAGAGAGAGAGAGAGAGAGTGACCTGAGCATCTATACCTTTCTAAAAGTGTTATTCTGAGATACTCTCATGTGCAAAGATGGTAGCAGAAGATGAGTGAGTGACCAGCTATTACTGGAATGGGGTGTTTTGCTTTCATGACTTGACCAGATGGATGTTCAGTAATGTGTGGTGTTTGTGTATAAAGTACAGCAAGCTCTACTAGAGAATTTGACGGCTTGGGCTTTGTTTAGACTGGGTTATTCATTTATGCTATCATTAATATGTTTGGCTTAGACCCCAGCTCATGCCGGCTAGATCGGGGTCTAACTAGCCACATTGGCCACGTTTGGATCAACTACCGTCATCACTTTTGACTCAGTTTTGACATTATTCTATATTACTTCTGACAGTTTTGTGATCTGTTAGTGCCTCGTAGACGGATCGTCACCCGCGCATTGCAGTTGGTTTCCGTCGTAAGCTTCTGTGATTGCCAAGACCCGACATAGAAAGCCACAACACCGGAGGATCCGGGGATTGGGTTAGAGCGCGCGTGACCTGGTGCACACGTCGACCCCGCCTCTGACAATGCTTTTGCCAACTGTCTCCTCCGCCAAACATTGTTGGTTCCGTGCCGTGGCGGCCAGCACTTTACACAGCACAGCCGAAATTAGGATCCCGTCTCGATCGGTTTCCTTCAACTTCTGTCGCAGTATGCATGTTCTCAATATCCCATGCTTATGGAAGGTAATGCCAAATTATGTAATGTGGCAATAGTGTGCGATAATCACGTTTTATCGAATAGCTCGCGCATTAACATTTTTTACGTCCTACAGCGTAACGCTAATTTTTAGGCAAATTATGTCATCTGCTATGCAAGCCTCATGACTGTGGGATCCGTGGTTGCGAAGATAGAAGACCGTCAAAACGGAGCCAGAATGGCTGGGATGATCTGCCGGGACTCGGCATCTCTGGTTATCTAACGTTAAGACAACATTGGCCCGCTGTCTTGCCCGAAATACTCGGACATGTTCGTCATAGGACCTGTGTCAATGGCTCGCTCTCAGTTTTGTTGCATGACTGCATCCAGAAGACGGCAAGTTAACTTCTACTGGTGGGAAATGGGTCTGATGGAGACTGAGTCTACCGAACAGTCAGTTGCCTTTGTGCTGAATGCGTAGAAATTTCGCCGGAGAGGGAAACTCTCAACTTTTCATGAAGCATGTTTTTTGACGCGAATGTTATTTTATGGGAATGCGCAGTGTCTTTCTGGATCGAATACCCTGCTTCTCAGCAGATATCCTCTGTTTGCTTAACATTTACGCCGCGCAATAAATCATCAGGACTCGAAGACATCTTTCTGAGCATCCATGGAAAGCGTTCATTGGCTCTATTCCTGGAATACTTACACACACCCTGCTCTGTGTTTTCGCAGGGCGAGCCGGTGGCCAGCCTCTGCACGCCTGATGACAGCGACTGGAGCGCCGCCCTGCGGGCGGTGGCTGAACCACATCGGCTGAGCCTGGAGGGCCTGAACCTGGAGGTGGCAGACCTGGACGAAGACATGACATCCCAGCCGTCCAGCAGTCGACAGCAGTTGCTGGAGGAGGTGCTGCAGACCAAGGAACTGCTACAGAGCAAGCAAAAACACAAAAACAGTGGGGTAGGTAAAAAGATGCGGCTTTGTATGAATCCCGGTAATGTCCCTTGACCACTCCATATTTATTACTGCAGTAGCTTTAGATCGAGCACTTAATTTCGTTCGGTTTTGAACGTGACGAAACCTAGTCCAAGAACTCAGAGAATGAGATGTCGAGGCCATAAGACGACTCGCTATGCAACTTAGCGCACGAATAAAGCAATAACCTTAACAGAGTGAGAAGAACCCGGAAATGGATGATGCTTGGAGGCAAACAATGCGTGGAAATGACCAAAGCTTGATTTACAATTGAATTAGGTGATGATTCACGCATTGATACCGGTAGGCAGTAAGCCAGCCAATACATTGAGATAACGGAATGTCACACGACCGCTAAAAGCAGACTTTGTTTGGCAAAACCTCAATGGCTGTCGGTTCACCTCGAACATAATATCAAGTGCATAGGAATACGTAGCAGTATTTTGTTGTAGTACCATGTTTTTATTTGTGCAGCTACCAGGTGCCCTTGGCGAAATGCGTCATGCAAAAAAATGGACATGCGGCTGCTTTTGGTTGCAAAACACGTTGGATGCTTCTTAATTATGCGGTCTTGAAGCATCATGCATTCATCATCTTATTCCCAGTCCATAAACAAAGGTGTTGATCGAATCAGACCGTTAACACGCACTCGAGTGGGAGCATTTTGACCACCGAAGGAAAGGTTACGAATGACGTCGATTAATGGCGCCAAATGGCCCGTGTATATGATCAAATGAACAACGAATGTTATTTCATTCTAAAGAATACGTTACTTGTGCAGGGCTGCTGACCTACATCAAGTCAAAGTCAGCGAAGATAATTCCTGCCGAATTGTTTAATATGATGCGGCAACGGACTGTTAGACGAAGCTATACAACATCAATGTTCTTTCTAAGACAATCAGACAAGGATAATTAGGGGTTACGACTAATTTCGTTGGCTTTGGTGAAGTATAAAGGTTAGGTCTAGGCCAAAACCAGGCCATTTTTAGCAATACAGTTACGATACGAGATAGTTTTTGGCACTAGCTTCGAAATGCTGAGTCACAGGGACGTCAAAGGATTTGTCGGTATGAGTTTATTAAGGTCTGATTCTTTTTATTTTGGTTTTGACTTTAAGTTAATTTCACTTAAAATTACCTCGATCAAACTTTTGCTTTAAGGAGGATGTCGTTTAAGGCAGTACTTGGCGTCAACTGCAAATTTAAATACAAAAGCCTTACAAGTTTGGGGGAATGTTTATCTTTTGAAGGCTAACAAGGTCAGTAATGTTAGTGATCCACCGCTCCATTGAACCAGCGGTCTGTTCCTTATACAGGATGTGTAGGTTAAAGCTAGTTATCTTAGGAGGTCCGAGGGCACGTTTGAATCCGATTTGGAGTTTGGCCTCGTTTGACTTTATTTGATGCGCACGTCATGACGTAGGAATTTAGAAACGTGACGCAAAAGTGAGTTTACCTAGACCCCTACATGCCCCATGAGGTTGGTTTTTTCCAGCTTTATTAGTTTTTGAGACAGTAGGGGGCCAAATAAATCTTCACACCCGAGCGCGTCGCATTTAACCGGTTTTTGAAGCTACCTCTGGCTTATGACGAAATATTCTAAGCGTTTGCGCGTATGAAAACAACTCCCCAGCTGTGCACTTATATGTATATATACATGAAATCACTCAGACTTGTCACGATACTAGATAACACACGGTTGGCCCTCACAAAACTGTTTTAAATTAATGTCCGAACAAAGTGACGACACTATTTTCGTTCGAAATAGCGGCCGAAGGTCGTGAGGACAGTTTTACCAGACGCAACGAATGTAATGCGCGCAGCTTTATAATTGAAGCAACGTACCTGTGAGTGCATTAAATTAAGGCAGCCTTGTGGGAAGCAGCCTAATGGTATCTCGGATGGTGACAAGGTGAAGTGATTACATTTATTCTCGTGGATATTTGCCGCCCATCATGGCTCACATCTATAATACGGTGCGATGGGATTTTATTTGGGCCTGATGGGGTACAAGGATGCATGGAAGATGCCTGTGTAATGCTTTGTCGAAATGAAAATTATAACAATATTTATTTCCTATGGCGGTTAGCAATGGAACACCTCATAACAATAATTATAGCAAGTGTTGGCCACCTGCACATGCTATGACATTTCAGTTCAAGTTTGGTAGGAGAGTGCCTGGGGACAAAGTGTGCATTAATGATGTAGGAAAATAACGTTTTCCATTAAAGCCAACAGGATCTTGGTGATCTCGACCGGAGAATTATGTCCAAAGAAAATATCCCCTGTTTAATTGAAAGATAAGGATTTTGTTTTCGTTCCCTTGTTGTGGATTAAGGTCAAAAAATAGGTCAGACATCATAAGACTTAAGACCATATGAGAATACGAACTTTGCGCTAAAACACAATTATCATGGCGAAGAAACGGCCATGACCCATACGAATAAACGATGTGGCCGGAAAGTGCGCCAAGTTAACTCCACGCTCAGTAAGTTCCAACTAACAACAGACCGCCCGTCATAAATCATGAACGACTTTCCAACGGATAATTGCTATTGTGATAAAACATTTTAGCACTAATTACTTGGAAATAGATCGATATTTATACCACCTCATTTTAACCAGTTATGCCACAAAACTCTTCCATGCGCCCGTCTTTTCCCTCAGACCGGCAAGGAAAATTTGTTCACACGGCTTGCAGATGAGAGCCATGTAGGAGAATGTTTGCTGGAATAAATTGAATAGCCTCGCCTGGTCACAATATTAGAAATTATTCGGCCCGTTTCTAACATCCGGGTTTTAACTGAATGCGCCGAATGGCTTGTGAATCAAATTGCAACGCTGCAGACGTTTGCTTAGGTTAGCTAACAGACAACTAAGATCCCCGCAGTTTTCGGTGAAACGACGGTTTTTCGCTATAGACTACTGTGATCTATGATCGTATATGCCGGTCACAATGTGCGGGTGCTGTCTTCTGGAATCAGTGTGCTATTGGGCTACATTTTGTCCGCAGCGTCTTTTGCGTTGATCATTCACGACACGGTGCTAAATATTCCCAATTCCGCACCAAAGCTGTTCGATTGCGGGTGCTCCATCCTCTCGAAAATAACTTGGTGCATTGCGACGATATTCTAACAGCTGAACATTTACATTAATTCATCTACATTCAAACCGTATATAAATATATTTCTTTCTATTTCGGTGATGTAACTACACAGTGGCAATATGCAACATCTTTAGCGAAATGTTCGTTTGCATTAATATTCTTACTAGACATTATGCACGTCAGAGGTGCAGTTTCGCAAAATGTGTTAGAGGATGGGCTGAACAGTGAAAAAACGATTCAACCTCCACCTGAACTACGCCAGAACAGGCTTTCCAAGAATTCCACTCGCTTTTTTCTCAAAATGGGGGAGCTGGAGACCAAGTTAGGGGAGGCGCCCCCTCCCCCAGCTGAATAGGAAACTACACTTCTGATGCACGTCGACTTGCCAGCACAAACCTAATCCTGCTCCGTTGTGCGGGCGCTCAGCCCAGCTTGCTCAAAACAAGAAACTGCGACGTTTTTGTCTGGTGGGTTTGCTAACATCTCCGTCTCTGTTCCGCAGAACTAAGCCCTGAGCACCACCCAAGTTGTCCAGCGATGATGGCGCATCTGTACTGGCTAGACAATAGCAATGACTTGGTTTGTGTCTGCGTCTGCGTTTCGCAAGAGCTGGACGAGGACAAAGGCCGGGATAGTCGAGAGGTGTTGGCGTCTCTATTATAGTCCGACAGCAGTAGCAGTGATTCAGCTAACATCTATGCCTGTGCTCCGCAGGGCTGGACCATGACGACGGCAGAGGTTCTGAACAGCGCAGACAGGGCCGAGGTGCAGGTGCAGATGGAGGCGTACCGGAAACAGCTGCAGCTGCGGCAGAGGAAAATGTCCGCTGCGCTCAAAGTAAGACTGCTATCTGCTGAGGGCATTAGGACCATCATCGTGTATTTCACATCGTCGGTTGGGAACTGGCGTAGGGTATTGTGATTGAATGGTGGAGTAAAAGCGAGTTTTGCGTACTACCTGACTTTGGCTACGCCTACTGTGCTGCAAAGGATCGAGCCCCCACAAGAAAGCATGCCGGTAATTTCCAGAATGGAGCCAAATCTATTCTGGAAAACATTTTATCCACCCCCACGGATGCACGAGGACGGAATTATTTCATTGTAAAGGGGATTCAGACTCACTGCATCCCAAAGCCACAACATGAATACGTGCGTGACAGTGCTGCCGTCGTTACTTCGCCTGTACTACCTGGCCTTTGGCGAGATGACGGCATGCACGCTATAGGCCATTGTGTCCCGTAAGTAAGAAAACACATGACAACTTAAAACCACGTATGTATGTGGAGTGTCAGCTGATGTCAGATACAAACCTGCTCTGATCCGAGGCAATGAGGCTGACAGTGGCGACAGAACAAGACACGAGGTGGACACGAGGTGGACAGACACGTCTTGCACCAGGCAGGACGAGACGTCAGCGTGCGCCGCTCTGCCCTCAGGCGCAGACCATGCAGCTGCCGCTGTCGAAGACGCTGAGCGACGCGAGCTGTGAGCTGAGTCACGGCCACCGCCAGGAGCTGGAGCAGCGGCTGCACACGCTCGAGTCGTCCATCCGCCAGAGCGAGCTGAGCGCGCGCGAGACCGTCACGCAGATCCGCAGTCGCCGCCAGCGCCAGCTGCGCGCCATCCAGGACCTCGGTGCGGCCCCGAGCCGACGGCGGCAGGCGGACATACCGGCCAGTGCCGACGGAGGCGCTGTTGGCAGGAGGGAGCGGGGCGGGCGGTGGGGCACGTGCCCAGCGCCGACGGAGGCGCTGTTGGCAGCGGGGCGGGCGGTGGGGCATGTACCCAGCGCAGACGGAGGCGCTGTTGGTAGGAGGGAGCGGGACGGGCGGTGGGGCACGTGCCCAGCGCAGACGGAGGCGCTGTTGGCAGGAGGGAGCGGGGCGGGCGGTGGGGCACGTGCCCAGCGCAGGCGGAGGCGCTGTTGGCAGGAGGGAGCGGGGCGGGCGGTGGGGCACGTGCCCAGCGCAGACGGAGGCGCTGTTGGCAGAAGGGAGCGGGGCGGGCGGTGGGGCACGTGCCCAGCGCAGGCGGAGGCGCTGTTGGCAGGAGGGAGCGGGGCGGGCGGTGGGGCACGTGCCCAGCGCAGGCGCAGGCGCTGTTGGCAGGAGGGAGCGGAGCGGGGGATGGGTCGCGTGCTCGCCGGCTCACCATGGGGTCGCACTGTGGTGAACGTTCAGGATACCGCTTAACTGCATTGCACCGTGAGCCAATGTGCTCATTTTAGCCAGCGGCTACTGCTGCGCCTTGCACTTTGCATAATGCACGAGAGGAAGTGAGCGATGGGCTTTTGTCTCCTGTTCCATCTTACGTCTGCAACTTCTGCCGTCGGTTCTGCGGTTACCGCTGGCCACCAGTGACGCAAGCGTGGCGCACACGACCCGTCCCAGTCAGCCGTGCGCTGTCATGACTCCCACCTCCGGGCCGCAGGCATTCCAGCGGCCAGCGTGGCAAGCGCGCCGTCCTCGAGCGGACTCTCAACGCCGTCCACGCCACCGCCGGGCCCCGGCTCCGGCTGGGAGGAGGCGGCTCCGGTGCGACGGCCCCGCTCGCTTCACTCGCCCTCGCTCGTGCGCCGCCGCACCCCGCTCCGGTTCATCAGGTGAGCGGCGCCGCGCTCGTGCCGGACACATCCGCAGCAGCGGCGTGCGGCGTCGCACTGGCACTGGTCACACTGCTGGTGCGGTCAATCGACGCCCGCCGTGAGCTGTTAAGAAACTGGAGCAATTAGAGGTGCGATTCTCGGCTGATGGATTAAACGGCGACTTACGTAGGCACCTTGTGACACATGTCGCCATGCTTGCACCTCATTTGATGCAGCATGCGTTTTCTTCGTGATCTTTGTATTGTTAAGGTTAAATCGCATGCCCCTACGCGTATTCATAGCCTGGTACCCAGCCTCTTGAAATCGCTGTTCAATGTTTTTTGTTCACCCGCCCCAATTTAAACTCGTTAGTCCCTTTGGAGGAATGCAATAGCACCTTCAAGTCCGTTCATGGAATAGTTCCTCTAGAGCAATATTCAATCAGTCTGATACTTTGTAAGCACCTGTGCCAAAGCTTTCATTAATCTATCGTGACTTCCCCCCTATGCCCTGTCACAAGGATGCGTGATGTTGCCGCGGTTCCCCTCTCTGACACAGCGGCCCTGCCTACCCCGTAACGCGCACCCGCTCTCGTCAGCGCGCTGTCGCGTACCAAGCGCCGTTCGGGGGCCGACTGGGAGGAGCCGGTGGCCGAGCGGCCGGCAGAGGCGCCCCCGCTGCGCTCCCAGGTCAGCGCCGAGGCCCTGCGCGAGATCGCCCGCTTCGAGCGGCTCATGGAGACGTTCCTGCGCCTGCGCCACGCCGGGCACACGCATCTGCTCACCGTGGAGCACTACCTCTGAGGCGGCGGGCTGCGGTGACGGTCGCGCTGCTGCTGTACTCTGGCGGATGGACGCTCGAGGACAACACGGCCGCCATTCATGTAGTTGTACTGTTCCTTGACTGGAGGGTGAGTGGTGTGCATCACTCCATGGAGCACGTTTGTAGAAGTACTTGTTAGACCGAATGATGAATGTCACTGTATCTTTGGGATTGCTTCTGAGACGATTTATCATTTGATAGTTGATCGGCTGACTTGAACTGATACAGCTGCCGAAGTGTGATCTCTTTCATGCTTAATCCGTTATTATGTTCACTTTGATGTACAAGCTATGATCCCGCACCATTATTGTGAAAGCAGCCATCATCGTTCGAGAATAAAAGCCATGTCACGGAATGGAAAATGCGCTTAAAAATTATTTTTCTTGTTCTGTTTTTAGGGAAACAAATAGTAAATGCGATTGAGTTATAAAGGCCTATATTTTGGTATATTTTGCTGCACCTTCCACATGGTCAATATGAATAACATCGGCCTGGACGGACAAAAGCCTAGGTGTGCGAAACTTGAGTAGAACCCGTGATGATCGCTCAATATATAATTTTAACAGGGAACATTCAAAAAAGAGGAAGGAAAAACGGAAGAAAGGAAGAGTGAGCTCAAACGGCAATCACAATCACACACAAAATGTCATATGGACAGCGGGCACTGACAGACACAAGACCGAAACCAGTCGGTAAAAATGATACAAGTCGAAGCCAAGCACAAAGCAATTGAGAGAAAACTACGAAAACCGAACCTGGAGACGGTTTCGTTTCCATGACGTTCTCTATACAGCACAGTCGAACGCCTCCTGACACCGAAAGTCGCATGCGAATGCTAATCGCACGCTAACGCGCGTGCATAGCGCGGGACATTCGACCACTGCCACTTTAGATCCAAGCGCTTCAATGTCGCATGGTCTCTGGGAAATTTCGAAGCATTTTATGGTGGAAAAAACTCTGTCAGGAAAGATAATTTAAGTGATCTCTGAAAAAGCACGAGCGACAAATCATAAGAGGTTTGCCATTGGTAGCAAACTTGGCATGAACCAAGTGCTGACTCAAACGCTTTTCCGTTACGATTGTTACAGATCTCAACACGTGGAAAGGTTTCATCCAATCGTCGTGAAACCCCTAAATCTAAAGTACAGAGCCACACGAAACGAGGCTGGGGAGGGGGAGGGGGGCACCCACGCCCCAGAGGATGCACGAGCACCCCGCGCACCAGTCTGGCTACGGGCCTGCATATCAGATAGCCGCATTCCCTGATCAGAATCCCTTGTTTAAGGACAAGAGGCCCTTCGGTATATTTGATGGCCCCCTTTGAGAATCGGAAGAATCCCGCTCTCAACAGGGAGTCCCTAATTTGCAGCAGGGAGCCCCTTTCTGGCACAGCAAGCTCTGTTTTCGGATTGCGATGGTCTTTGCTGGATCAGTAAGACACCTGTATTAACCAGAAACTTCCGCTCCGGATCTTCAACTGTCGACTCTTATTCACGTATATATATATACATATATATATATATATATATATATATATATATATATATATATATATATATTGATGCTTCTTTCGATAGAGGAGCATGCGCGTCTGGGGCCGCTCCTGTTGAAGACAACACCGGAAGGAGTGTGAGGAGGTCCCATTCTGTCCTGGAAACCCCCTAGAAAATCTTGCCCCTCCCAAATCAGAATCCGTGGCGCCGGCTTTGTCACATACTCCATCCACACTGGATGGACCACCATAAACCTTTGTCAGTCGATGCACCAAGGTCGATTTTCTATCTTTTTCTGGAACCGTATGACCCTCAGTCAGGTCAAGCTCACTAAAACGCTCTAAGCCACCGAGATTGGCCATAGACAACCCCATGTGTCCAGCCTATGAGACAGATCGGCGCACAACCTTCACCAGTCGATATATCATGGTCAGTAATCTATCCTCTCTAGAACGTAATGACCATGTGAGGTCAAAAGTCACTAAAAATGCCCCGACCCACCAGAAATTAATTTGGAGACAACTCTATTGCTCCGAGCCTATGAGCCTGATCTGCACAAAATCTTTTCCATTGGATACGCCGTGGTCGATTAATTGTCCTGTTCAGAAGATGCTGGCCTTGGGTCAGGTCAAAGGCCACCGAAAAGGCAAAAACCCTTTCAAAAAAGGACCAAAAGGTTTTGTGGTGATCTGTTACATAGGCTGGTGGCATGACATTGAATGTCTACTGTTTTCTCCGTTGTGTTTTTATTTTTGCTGACATTTGACCTAACCCCAGGCTACCACTTCATGAAAACGCTAGGTTTTCGACCAAGCCACATCTAATGGTGAGGGTTTGGTTTCGATCAATCCCGTTGTCTCGGTGCCAATGGCAACGGTTCCTAAGTTTTAGCGCAGGCACTTGCGACTGAGTGGAATGTGCACTTCGACCAAGTGGAGGGAAATAAAGCAATTCATTTTGTGTTTTTTTTATTATTCGAAGCATTCCATCACTACTTGCGCCCTTGTATAGGACAATAACGGCTGCATGTACCTCAGAGCTATCAGAGCTATATGCACCTAGATCATTAATTAGCAGTGGTTACATGCACCTCGGAGCTAATAATCATTGACTTTTTTCATAGCAACGTTCGGATAGCTTTCTGTCATCATGTTCCGACATCATGGCATCATGTCATCATGTTCTAACATCACGTCACAGTCAGAACGCAATGACCTCTTTCGCGACACTCGGCTTCACTGATTGAAGCGGGCATACTCACAACACCCGTCGGCTCTCGCGTCAGCACTGATTGTTCCTTGGGGCTCGCAAGCGGGGGGGGGGGGGGGGACTGTACGGCCGACCAAACCTGCTGACAGCCCCATGCTCTGAGGATTGGCACAGATGGACATGAAATCTTTACCATTTGATGCCCTTTAGTCGAAGACCTATCTTTCCTAGAACATGGCGACCTTGAGCCAGATTAGAGATTGCTAAAAATATAAAAAACCTGGAAAAATAAGGCTGCAGACGGCTAATGCTCTGAGCCTATGGAGCCGCTCAGCATGAAGTTTTTACCAATCGATTTGCCATGGTCGACATCTTTCAGAACACATCGATCCTGAGGAGTCAAATCAAAGGTCACCAAAAACATCCAAAGCCACCAAAATTGGCTGCAGACAAACTTGTCCTCCGAGCCTATGGGACTTATCGGTACACAATTTTTACCAATCGATGTGTTATAGCTGATAAAATGCCCCTCCTAGAGCAAAGGGAACTTGGAACTGATAAACGTCACCAAAAAACGGCCAAAACCACCTGAAACTATTTTCCAGACAACCCCATCTCCGAGTCTATGGTACAGATCAGCACCAGACCTTTGCCAGGCGATGTGCCATGGTCGATAGCTTATGCTTTCCAGAACATGGTGACCTCGGGTCGGGTCAAAGATCACCAAAAATGGCCCAAACCACCTGAAGTCAATTTATAGACAACCCCATGCTCCGAATATATATATATATATATATATATATATATATATATATATATATATATATGTGTGTGTGTGTGTGTGTGTGTGTGTGTGTGTGTGTGTGTGTGTGTGTGTGTGTGTGTGTGTGTGTGTGTGTGTGTGTGTGTGTGTGTGTGTGTGTGTGTGTGTGTGTGTGTGTGTGTGTGTGTGTGTGTGTGTGTGTGGTGTGTGTGTGTGTGTGTGTGTGTGTGTGTGTGTGTGTGTGTGTGTGTGTGTGTGTGTGTGTGTGGAATGGATCGGCAAGCAACCTTTGCCAATCGATGTGTTTAAGTGGATATCCTGTTATCTGTGGATATCCTGTGAACAGTCATCCTGTCCTTGCCAAAACAAGGTGACCTTGAGTGAGGTCAGAAGTCACTAAAAATGCGAAAAAATCAGCGAAGAAATAGGGTTCCAGATGACCGCATGCTCCGAGCCTATTGGGCCAATCAGCATGAAATTTTTACGAAACAATGTGCCATATTTGATAGCCTACTCTTTCTTTGTGACATTGAGTCAGTCCAACGCATACCAAAAAAGCCCAAAACCACCAAAATATTTACTGCAGTGAACCCTATGCTCCGGGCATATGACAGCAATTAGCTTGAAAGTTTCACCAATCGGTGCGCGATAGTCGGAACCTTATGACTGCCAGAATACGGTGACCTTGGGTCATCTCAAAGGTCACCAAGAAAGTTCAAAACAACCAAAATTGGTAGCATTTTCCTTTTTGGTGACCTTTTACCAGACACAAGGTCACCAAGTCCTGGAAAGGACAAGGCATCGACTGAGGACCGTCGATTAGGGAATATTTCATGGCGATTGGTTCCGCAGGCTCGGAGCATGGGTTTGTGCGCCAATCTGCTTTTTTTGTGTTTTTTGTGTTTTGATAATCTTTGACTTAACCCAAGGTCACCATATTCTGAAAATGATAGGATACCGGCTATGGTGCATCGATTAATGAAAATTGTATGATGATCGGTGCCAAAGGCTCGGATCATGGAGTTGTCTGCGGCCAACGTGGTTGGTTTGAGCGTTTTTGGTGACCTTTCACCTGACCCATGGTCACCATGTTTCGGAAAGAATAGTATATCGACCATGGCGCATTGGTTGGTTAACGTTTAGTACCAATCGGTCACATAGGCTGGAAGCATGGGGTTGTTTGCAACCCAATTTCAGGTGATTTCGGCCGTTTTTGGTGAACTTTAACCATGCCGAACGTCACCATGTTCTGGAAAAGATAGCATACCAACTACGGTGTGTCGATTGGTGAAGGTTTCATGCTGACCAGTGCCATAGGCTCGGAGCATGGATATGTCTGCAGCGAATGTTGGTACCTTTGGGCATTTTTAGTGACCTTCGACCCGACTCAAGCTCACTATATTGTGGAAAGGATAGAATATCTACCATGGTGCACCGATTGATGAATATTTAATGCTGATCAGTCCCACAAGCTCGGAGCATAGGGTTGTCCACAGCCCATTTGCCGTTATTTTAATTTTTGGTGATCTTCCACCTGACTTAAGGTCACCGTGTCTTGGAAAGAATATGTTATCGACCAAGGGGCATCGAATGGTGAACGTTTGGGTGCCGATCGGTGAAATCGGATCGGAGCATGGGGCTGTCAATAGAGCATGGGTTTGGTCGGTCGTTAAGTCCGTCCCTCGTAAACTTCTCGCTCGTGACCACAATTGTTGTTCGATTCTAAATGCACTTCCGGGCGAAGAATCGCTTGGCGACGCAGCCTGGACTGAGTTTAGCGCTGGGTGGATATTTTGATTGAGTGCGAATCTTTTGACGTCAAATTCCAGAATGACTCTGGCACGGAATAACTTTATCTTATTTTGCTTCCGGTGATGACATCAATGGCAATTGAGTACGACTTAACACCTGCGTGGTAGCAGGCTTTTATGTTGCGTCTATAGTACAACGGTCAGAAGAATAATGCATCATCCATGTTCTATTATTGATTCATGCCGTAGAGCGCTACTTTATCCGTGGGAGGATACGATAAATCTTAGAAGTAAATACCTGTGTGCTGCCAGATGAATGCATATCGTTCAACCCCAGCCACGGCAGATGTGCCATTCTTTTCATGAGAGAATTGCACGACACATATCCTCTTTCAGGGGCGGCTCCGCACAGGGGGGGGGGGGGGGGTCAAAGGGAAAGTTACCCCCCTCTGCCCACAGGCAGGGGGCAAGAGTTTGTGCCCGCCCCCCCCCCCCCTCATTTTTTAGGACACCCATCTTCATTAACTAAAGGCTGTTGTTACACGTAGAGAACACAAATTCAAATCAAGCAGCTCCACATAACTAATCTAAAGAATAATAAACCGGGCTCAGAATGCTTATTGCAAAATCAAGAGACCCTTTTTTAGGTTCTGAGGATACCTTTGTGAATGAATGCCAATGACCTAGATCAGGGGGCCTAATGTTGTGTTAAGGAGGCCGTTTTGTTGGTTAGGAAGGCCCTGTTACGAGACAGGAGGCCCTTGGTCTGGTTTAGCAGGCACCCTCTATATTCAGGAGGCCCCATTTCTGGAACAGGTGGCCTTTTTATGCATGAGATTGCCGCGGTTCTGGATCAAGAATCCTTGGCGATGACGAGCCCCAAGTCTAGATTTGGAGGCCCTTCGTGAATCGTATGCATCGTTTTCTGGATTAGGAAGCCACTCTATGCGTCGGAGGCCCTTTTATGGAACAGGAGGCCCCGTTTTACCGTAGCTAGACCCTTTGCTGGATGATCAGAAGGCCCCTATTTTGAATCTTTGACTGCCGACATTTATTTACCTGAATATCATGAGTGTAATAGTTTAATAAGGGCCACATACTCTAGGTGCTCCTCCCTCTTGAATACGACACTGCGCAGGAGGCTTCCCTGTGTGTGGGGGGAGGGGGCATTTTGTCCAGGAAGCCATCTGGAAAATCCTGGCTACTGTCTCTCCCCAACTCAAAGCCCGTGGGCCGTGGCGCCGCATTTGTCATCCAAATATGCTAAATGCGAGCATCGTAGAGTCACTAAAGTCCAGCAATAACACTGATCCCAGATACAAAACCATCTGCTAGAAGAGAGGCTTCTCGCATACCCAGCAGGCTGCTACGTGTCAAAACATGTATCTTTTGGGCGTCGGACGGGTTATAATTTGTACCATAGATCGTCATGAAGGTTGAAGCCCACGTGTACCCAAATTTCACTGCAATCCGTGGGCCATCCGTGCCTACAACTACCCAGGCAAGCAAAATGATACAGACAGAAAAACGCATGACGGAAATTACCGTTAAATGAGCAGTCTGTAAAGAGAAGTCCTTATTTGGTAGCGATTTGGTACCCGATCATCTGAATGCGCTGTCTTCGCCACGGATTCGCAGCGTTTGAGACTGGTGGGACCAGTTGTGTGTATGTTTGGATGTTATGTTTACAGTTGGTGGTATGGATTCATATCGATATTTTTCAGGTCAACGCCTTGTGAACTGTTAGTTTAGACACGACCTGTATTCCTGAGGATTGGACATGCTGTATCATACCAAACTCTACAGATCCAGCTAGTAATCTGAGTACTGCTGTGTAAGTTGAAGTTTGTTGGCCAGGGGCGTAGTTTCGCAAGGCTTGAGGTGGGGGGGGGGGGGGGGTTGAGCATAAGTCTGGGAGAATCAATCCACTACTCCAAGTGCTTAAATGACAGTGGTGCTGGAGCTTTTGTCTCTAAAGTGAGGCCTGTGCAGATTGTTTTCAATGTGCAAGTTATTTTTCCTCGAAAGATGTTTTGAGCAGTATTTCTGCTTAAAATTTATTTAGAAACATTCATTATTATGTTACACACAGGCACTTAATGCGCTGAAACCAGTGGTGATTGATGCATCAAACTCAGGACCTCAGAGCTATGGCACGCATGTGGTGTGGACTTAGCATAGAAAGCAGATACACCTTCAACTCTTATGTACCAAAACATATTTTTCCTGGGATGTGGTGTACTGTCTTCTCAAAGTTGGACTGGAAGCCCTGGCCCACCCACAACTGAATGGGAAGCTTTACCCCTGGCTCATGCTGTATGTAAGCATGACTACTGGCAAATTATGTAATGGGTATCATTAGAAAGCATAGCTGGTAGGTTTTGAAACCAATTTGCTCAGTTGCTCACATCCATAAAAATTATATGCTGCAATTTCAGATGATAATTATTGTGGGTCTATCAGCAGCATTTCCATTGGTGACATTCCATTAACCAGTGGAACTATTTCACCAAGGCTAGATATGTGATGTTTGGGAAGATTAAATGCTGTTCTGTTAATTTTCTGCATTATTTGTAGTTGCCCATATTTTCCAGTCATGAATTATCACTTTGTGCACTGTGCTTACATATGCAAGACTGTGTTAGAAGTACCTCATGAAATCTAATGGCTGTGTATGATGCCATGATACTCAGGATAATGCTCCTTAATGCTGTCCACATCTGGCACTGGATAATTGCAATGCATGATGGTGATTCCATAACCAGATCCACTGCTCAGACAACCATTTTGCAAGTTCTACCATCATCCTTGTCTCAGCTAGCACAAGCTGAGGCACAGCTGGGATGATATGTGATGGATTACTGGCTACTGGGTACTCTGCTCAGCAGACTGCTGTGTGATTCGCACCCACAGCCCCCACTTCCGCTTCCAGGGTGAACGTGTGGTGAGCGTGGCCCAAGATGGAGGGCCAGCTGCCGAGCACGCTGCTGGGGTCGGCTGAGCTGGCCGGCCTGACGGCGCACACGGTGTACATGCTGCCGCGCCAGCCGGAGCCGGCCGGCGCCAGCGCGGCGGCCGGCTCGGTGTACGACCGGCTGGCGGCCGAGGCGCAGACCATCACCGAGTACATCGACCTCAGCAAGGTGGGCGTGGCGGCGGACGAGGCCAGGACCGAGCGGCCGCGCCGCTCCGGCCAGCGGTGAAGCAGAGCCAACCCTCGTCTGGCCTGGTTACATGGAAACTTGGAGCCACTTTTCGCGGGTGGACGCTAGGCATAGCTGCCTATGAATTCGATTACGATAAAAGCTGTCTTATATGCATACAGAGCACTGAAACAATACACTCCAATCAGATTTTACCTTTGATGCTGACAAGCCCTAAAATCTTGAGCATCATTGTCATCATTCCAGTTAGAGGAAGGTTTCGTCGCAGTGTCAAATGATCTTCTGCGAGCAGCAGTGCCCACCCCGTTCGCCGCGTGCTCCTGAGCCTGGCGCGCTGTCGGACAGGCGCACTTGCCCGGCCTGGTGGTGGAGCCCGTGCCAGCGGCCCGGGAGACGGGCGCGGACCGGGTGTCGCTGCAGCACGAGTTCCCGCGCTGGCAGGCGGCCAAGCAGCGGCTCAACCTCAGCGACGACCACCAGCTGGCGCGCGTCCTGCTCGACCTGCTGGAGAGCAGTCTCGCCTCCGCCCAGTAAGAGCATATGCTGCATTTGATTGCATGTGTGCCAGAGGTGCGAGGCGGTCTTGTGACTGTTCTGACGTGTGTTTTGCGTTCGCTCGTAATGCTGTAGGATTTCTTCGCAGTATGTCTGCAACATCCAGATGGCTGTATATTATTTTGCTGTGTCCTCGCTCGTAGTGCTACAATGTATTTTTGCAGTTTGTCTGCAACATTTATGGGTTTCGCATCCATTGGATTTTCCCTTTCAGCACAAAATGGAAGGGATTAGCATCAATAAAAGTGTCTTCTTACGGCACCTTTCTTCTAGTGAGCAGAAAACTTGGTTTCTAAAACCATGCTTTTAACCTAAAGAATAAGGAGCGATTGAAACATAGCCCGTGTTGCACCCTGTATCTGACAGCAGTGGTATGGACCGACACACTGGGTTGTGGCGTCTACCAGCCGCTACAGAGGTGCCCGTGCTTTGGCAGGCTCGTCAAGTCCGAGGACCTACATGATGTCAGCTCCGTGCTTCACTGCGAGATGAAGGAGCCGTCCAGGGAGGCTCAGCTGGAGAGGTGGGCCACCGTACCACGGTCCTATGACGTGCAGTAACTGACCTTACTGACACTTGGGTAACCATATGCGACCGTGTTGCATTACAGTATGGTGGCAGTGTTTATAACCCCCCATCCAACTACAGCAGTACTGCCAGTACATCTATAACGCTCGCAGCTGGTAAGATTACGGGGAATTATTTCGGCTGTGCGCGATAAACACCACCGAGATTTCCACCCCAACGATGCTATGTTCTCAGGCACCAGTAATTCATTTCACCTCCTTCCTCTGTGGCCGACGCTTTCGTTTTGTTCCGTGCATTCATGGCTTTTGACAGTCTTGCTCCATAAGGACAAGCGTTGTCTTGCGCTGACAAGGCGACTTGCCTTGGATGCTGAGCATGGCGACCGTTATGGCGAAACTTGCGACCAGGACTTAACAGGAACGGGACGAACACGGTCTAATTATATCACTGAGCATAAGCCTGGTTACGACCGGAATGGCAAGGGGCAGTCTAGGTCGCAAAGATATGGAATTTCAGATATTTCCAAATTTCCCGATTTCATTTTTCTGCATGCTTTTTACCTTCTTGTTGTGTACAGACGTGACGTCTCCGATGTCCTGTGCTGTCCTCCTCGCTCTCGCACACTGTATTTGACAGCTTGCATACAACGCGGGACGGAATTATGACGTCACGAAACCCAAGCCTGGTTGCGGCTGACCCGGGTCACTGAGTGGATTCAGCGTGTGGGCGAAAGCGCCAGTCCCCTCTCCCGACCAGCTTACCTGCAGTCCAGTCACCGTTCACCGCTCCGTTGCAGCGACGCCGCCGCCGTCACCGGCAGTCCGTCACCGGAGGGGACCGTCAGCATGGCCGTAGCGGGCTCGGTTCCCGCACCAGGGCCGGGGCCGGCTTCGCTTCCAGCTCCGGGTTCAGTCCCGGCTCCGGCTCTGGCTCCGGCCTCGGCTCTAGCTCCCGTCCTGGCGCCGACTCCGGCTCCGGCGCCGGATCCGGCACCGACACCGGCTCCGGTTTCGGCCCCGGCCCCGGCCCCGGCCGTGGTCCGGGGTCCGGCCACGTCCCCAGTTCCGGTCCCGGTCACGGTCTCGGCTCCAGCTCCGGCCCTGGCCCGTCCCCGGCGGCGGCCGCGACCCGTCGATCGGAACAAGCCCTGCCCGAAGTCAAGGAAAGCCGGGTAAGTCGTCGCCTGGGCGTTCGATGGAAACGGGCTTTGGATGGTCGTGTGCGTCGAAAGCGTGCATTTCAGGTATCGATTACCGCTTTTCGCCGCCCTGTGTCCTTGAAACGCCGTTCGTCATTCGTGGCTGACGGGCGGGCATCGGGCACAACTGAACCGTCCGACACGTGCGCTGAGTCTGCACGAGCTGACCTATCTCACGCTGGTGACCCCTGCGGTGAGCCGACGTATCTCACACTGGTGACCCCTGCGGTGAGCTGACGTATCTCACGCTGGTGACCCCTGCGGTGAGCTGACGTATCTCACACTGGTGACCCCTGCGGTGAGCTGACTTACCTGACACTGATGCTGGACTGGCGGCAGGTTCCGGGGCCGTGAGCTGACGTACATGGACGAGGCGGACGACTCAGCGGCCGAGGACGGCGCCGACGCCGAGACATCGCCCAAGCTGTTCACCTTCCCGCCAGTGGAGCCCGAGCTGCTGCATTACTTCAGCTGCAACCTGTGCGACGCGGCCGGCTTCGACGACGTCGAGACGTACTTCGCGCACCTGTGGCGCACGCACACCGAGTTTCACATGGTGGGCGGCCGCATCCAGCGCATTCCAATTCGCCTGCGGCCGCAGCTGTTCGTCATATGCGCGCTGTGCGGCCTCAACAACAAGGGAAGCACCGGCTTCAGCAACACGTACCTGACGACGGCGCACCTGCCGCACCACGCGGCGCTGCTGCGGCCACCTCGCGCGCCACTCCGCTGCGACACCTGCCGCGCCGAGTTCGCCGACCGCGCGGAGCTGGCGCTGCACGCGCTGGACGCCGAGCACGGCAACGCGGCGCACCGGTGCCCGGTCTGCGCCGACGAGGTGGAGGGCGACCTGAACTACATCGCGCACCTGCGCGCTCACTACATGAGCCGCCTCTTCCAGTGCTACTTCTGCATGACGCTGTTCGCGACGGAGACGGGCTGCATCGCGCACATCAAGAAACACCACGCGGAGGATTACAGCGTACACAAGTGCAGCAGCTGCGGCTACGCCACGGCGCTGTTTCACGACTTCCTGCTGCACATCCGGTCGCACTCGCAGCTGAACCGGCACGTGTGCCACGTGTGCGGCGTCATGTTCGTCTCCAAGATGTCGCTCAAGCACCACATCCCGACGCACACGGACTCGCATTTCCCGTGCGAACAGTGCAACAAGATCTTCTCGCACCCGCAGACGCGGCGCCGGCACGTCATCAACGCCCACAACAACCCCGAGAAGTGCACGTGTCCCGAGTGCGGCCGCCAGTTCGGCTCGGCCTACTCGATGAAGCGCCACTACATGATTCACACGGGCGAACGGCCGTACCAGTGTGACAAGTGCGGCCGCGGCTTCGTGCAGAAAGGCGACCTGCAAGCGCACTACAAGCGCTGCAAGTTCACGGAGGTGACGGGCGTGTTCGTGACGATATAGGGTGGCGCGCTGCTGGACTGCTCGGCACGGACGTGGGCAGGGGACGAGCTAGTGTTGATGATTTAGATGCGTTAGCAATGCAATTGTCGGCATTTTATCTACTGGACTTGAGGTGCGTTTTATTATGTGTGACCAGTGTCTGATCAATTTGGGTACGTCTGTTTTCAATACAGTTATGTATAGTATTATTAAGAAGTTATGTTTTTAGCATGTTGTCACGTGGGATTAGGAGGGAAGCATGCCTTTCTCCGGAGCTTTCGGACCAGTTTGCGGATCCCTTAGATGGGGCTTTAGTTGAGGATTACGGAGCCCGGCCACCAGTCTGCTGCTGCCCCCCCCCCCCCCCCCGCCATCGATTTTCACACGGTTCAAGGGAGGGAAACGGCAAATGTTGCACCGTGGCTCGTACGCCCCTAATGCGGCGTCTTGTTCAGTGCCAAAATTGATGGAAGTAACATTCCCCTTCTTTTCTCATTCCCGCTTGATCTTGCGTCCTCACAACGACCCATCTATCCTGGGGATGTTACAGCCATCAGCCAGGAGTGTGCTGAAGCCCCCTGATGGGGATCCCGCCTGAGCGCCGCGCTCATCTCTGTATGGTTTCCGGACGGAAGGTATACCGCAAGTAATCAAACGGCAAAAGGCAAAAGGCTTAAAGTCAACAGATAACAGTTTAGTCGGAATGGTTGAATGGCAAAAGTGTCGAAAGGGTTTAACCCCAACAGGAGTAAATGTAGAAGAGATAATTCAAATCGGGAACAGTCCAGAGACAGTGGCGATGGGGATAAAGGCCTGCGGTATAACAGCTATATTATAAAACGGTTCAACGGACAGTCTGCATGAACAGAAGCGAATTGAGGGCAATGTAAACAATGAGGTAGTCAAAAGTATTTAAGGCCAGAGTCATCAGCACTTGACGAAATGAAAGGAGATGGCACCTTATGGGCTGTGATGCGCCGTGGATCTACCGGGTTTGGCGACATACCGAGCCTGGGCCCTCTGAGTAGCAAACTTAAGTGCTCTGCTATTGCCGCCCCCGAATACTGAAGTCTGTTTACTTTTACTCGAGGTATTTTGCATGCTCAGTATTTGGTGGAGCTGGCTGCCCCAAATGTTAAAGCTGAAGATTGCTGGATGCTTTGAATACCGAGCCGTCGCATATGCAATGGTTCGCAGTGTGCTGTATCAACGGTCGCAGTCCTGTAAGACACCGGGCCAAGACTCCCAGCAGGATCGAATCACCAAAAATAAGGATGCATAAATGCATAAATTGGGTATTATGACCGCAGTTTTGCAAATGATCGACGATGCCCGCACATTCCGTCCACCACTCCGACTCATCCCCATCACTCAAATCATCTGCCGGTGACATCGCTTTTGCAAGCTGCCATGCGAAAGTACAGCCACATTACAGAAGTAATTTATGTCATGCGTCTGGGCCACAAGGGTTACTTATCCACTCGAACCTCGTCGTTACTTTCAGCGTCGTCCCTCAACTGGCTCTACACTTGATTTATCTAGCGCCCGACGCTTTCAAGATGTTTTATAATAATTTATGTCTCCCCATTGCGGTTTGTTCCGCAAGCCATAAATGACGGCTGACAAGATGTTGATTACACCAAGCCAGTAAAAAGATCGTTCACGAAATCGATTTTAAGAAGATACTGCGCGCCTTTCCGCATGTGAATCTGCAAAACATGAAAGCTTTTTTTGACACTATGGAACCAAATATCGTAACATATTGTATGAAATACGCCGTCAAAATGATAGCATCTTCGATACTGGGTAGCGGGACACAAAGCGCCGTGTGTGACCAGAAAACCAGTTGACCAGTTGCCTGACCAGAAAGTGTTTTTCACTTCATTTCATCTCGCACGTGTTATACAGCAGCTCATATGCCACTGTCCATATAGTATATATGGAAACGTCAGCTCACCTTATGGGTCGCCAGTGTGAGATACGTCAGCTCACCTCATGGGTCGCCAGTGTGAGATAGGTCAGCTCACCTCATGGGTCGCCAGTGTGAGATATGTCAGCTCACCTCATGGGTCGCCAGTGTGAGACGTCAGCTCACCTCATGAGTAGCCAGTGTTAGATACGTCAGCTCACCCAGGGGTCGCCAGTGTGAGACACGTCATCTCACCCCATGGGCCGCCAGCGCGAGATACGTCAGCTCACCCCAAGGGTCGCCAGTGTGAGATACGTCAGCTCACCGCACGGGTCGCCAGTGTGAGATACGTCACCTCACCCCATGGGTCGCCAGTGTGAGATAACTCAGCTCGTGCTGACTCAGCGCCCGTGTCGGACGGCTCAGTTGTGTCCGATGCCCACCGTCAGCTAAGAATGGCCAACGGCGTCTCAGGGTCACAGGGCGGCGAGAAGAGGTGATCAGTTCCTGGAATGCACGCTCCGAACGCGCACGACCATCCACGTCCATTTCCACCAAACGCCAAATGGACGACTTACCCAGCTTTCCGTGACTTCGGGCAGGGCTTGTTCCGATCGACGATTTGCGGCCGCCGCCGATACATAATTCGATTCTAACGTTTTTTAACATGAGGTGACTTATCGAAAAAACATGTTTTATTGGTTGTTTAAACTACTGTATTGTGAAATGGCTGTTGGCAAGTCGCGCACAATCGCTGAGAAAAGAGAGCAGACACTATGGAGACTGGAGACGCTCACATCCCAACAGAAATGTGGCCAGGAATGACACTTGCCTCGGTGTCAATGTCATGCTGCAAGACGGCATCCCGTTTTCATCGTTGTTACCGCTGCCGGATTGTACAGCACGTTTATGGAGCGCCTATGGAGTCTAGTGACACCTGATAATGCTCCACATTATTATGAGTTTGTTCAGTTGCCATGGTTGTGCAGTCAATGTTAAGAGAAAAGCAGAACACAATTTGCGATGTAGACTCTGACACGAACCATATACGCTTACTTGCGCCAAGGGCAAAGCAATGACGCAACGAAAAACTGAACAGCTGGCACGCCGCGTCAATAACAAGTGCAAAGAAGCTACCATTTCTCAACTGATACGATACAACACCCACAAAAACGTAACAGCTGCTCATAACATTTCCATGACACTAAGATGACTCGGGCTGCCGTAGCGGCGTCGGAGCGAACACAGCGCTTCCGATGGCGCCCGCGGGATGGCAGCACCGAAGCGGAGCAGCGGGCGCCGCCCGGCGGGGACGGGACGATGGCACACGCCAAGCGCGACATCCGGGCGCCCACCCACAGAACAAACGCGGCGGGTCAGGCGTCGGCACAGAGGACTACCGCCTCGCCAACGCTGTATGGAGCATCGCCGACAGCGTGGCGGCCTTCACGACCACCTGACTGAGCTGACTGCACTAGTTACGTATGGAGCCCTGTATGGAGCACTGTTGACTGTGCGGAGGTTTGGGCCGGAGCGGCTTCACTGGGGCGCACCCGGCCCGCGGCGAGGCGGCGGCCCGCTCCGAGGTACCGCCACTAAATCACCCGGCATGCCCACGTCTCGCGAGCACCATGACACAGCACGTTGCGATACATGCGGGGTGCGCAGACCTGCTAAGCGAACACTCAAACACTGACAAGTGGCGCGGAGCGGCCCCGCCGGTCGGAGCGCCCTACGACCCCGCTCAACAAGTACACCGAGAAAGGAACGCCTCCTCGAAAAAGGCCTACCAGGCGACTGGTATAAATAGCTATCGGATGTCACCGCCGCCTGACATATTTATGGAGTCTGATTACGTGAGGGAACATCATCGACAGTCTTCAAGTCCTCAGCTGCTATGCAGCACGAACGACGCTCTTCTGCGCTAGGGCAAGGCCGGCGGAGAGGTTACCTTACCCTCGCCGGGCGAGCCTATTAAATCATATAGATCTGGGTCTGAGATCAAAAGCCATGCACATCTGTCCCCTGTAGGCGGCAAGATCTGACTCCCAGCGCGTTAAGCAGCCACACAGACCTCATCGCATCAGCGGCCGGCCGAGGCCGACCGCTCAGCAGGAGGTCCGCCGCCCGCCGCTCACCCCGCGGCCCCTAGCCGAGCAGCGGCGGCGCCTGGCGCTCCAGCCTGGCGAGCGGCGGCGCGGCCGTGGCCGCCGGACCCTCGGGCGCGCGGCAGCGGCGCGCGTGGCGCGCCAGGTCCCCCTTCTGGACGAAGGCGCGGCCGCACAGCTCGCACTGGTGCGGCCGCCGGCCCGAGTGGATCATGGCGTGCCGCTCCAGGTGGTAGCGCGTCGAGAAGAGCTTGCCGCACGCCGCGCACTTGTGGTCGTCGGGGCTGATGTGCTGGCTCTTGACGTGGCGTTCCAGCGGCAGCGGGTGCCGGAACGCCTTGGCGCAGTGCGGGCAGCGAAATTCGGTGCCACTGTGCGTCTCCAGGTGGCGGCGTAGAGACTGTCCCGTCTGGAACATGACGCCGCACTGGTGGCACACGCACGCGTTCAGGCCCACGTGCGTGCGCGCGTGCTGGATGAACTGGCTGACCAGCGACGTGGCGTACGGGCAGCGTGCGCAGCGGTGCACGTTAAAGGCGGCCTCATGCTCGGCGCGCACGTGCGCCACGCACGCCGGCTCGGTGGCGAACCGCTCGGCGCACAGGTAGCACTGGAATGGCAGGCGGACGCGATGCCAGAGCCGGTGGTAGCGCGCGTTGGCGCGGCCCTCGCCCTCCAGGCCGCAGCTTTCGCACCGATACGGCGGGCAGCCGTGCGCCGCGTCCAGCGCGTGCAGCGCCAGTTCGGCGCGGCTGGCGCAGCGCATCTCGCAATCGTCGCAGGCGAACGTCAGCGGCGCGCCGCCGGCCGCCTGCAGCACGCGCCGGTGGCGGGCCGGCATGTGAGCGCGCGTCAGGTGCCGGTCTGACACCCCCGCTGTGGCCGTGCTCCTGTTGTTGAGGCCGCACAGCGCGCACGTGACGAACATGTGCGGCCGCAGCTTGAGCGGCACGCGGCGCCGCTGCGCGCTGCCCAGCATGCGCAGTTCCGTGTGCTGCGCCCAGAGGTGTGCGAAGTGAGCCGCCAGGTCGGCGAAGTCGGTGGCGCCGCACAGGCCGCAGGCGAAGAACGGCATCAGCAGCGGGTCGACGGCCGGCAGAAGCACCGGCGAGCGGCCGGCGACGGCGACTGACGGGTGCACCCTGCGGTAGACACGACACACATCAGCAAGGCCACTGCACACATCAGCAAGGCCACAGCATACATCAGAAGGGCCACAGAACACACCAACGCAGGGCGCACTACGTATCAGTAGTCCGCATACATTAACATAGACAGAGGGGCGCAGGACGATCGACGCGCATCAGCAGGCCCACGCCATCCCTGCAGCATGCTTCAGCCAGATCAGCTGCTCGCGGCCGGACTGGTGAGCAGCGGCTAGCCTGCCCACCCACAGCTGCTAGCCTGCCCATCCAATCAGCACACTGAACGACCTGGCAGCAGCGCGTGTAGCGGGCAGTCCCGCTTCGTTCGGCGATCTCTGGCAGCCAGCGGCTGTGGTCACCGTCAGTCGCCGCCTCTGACTGACGGCTCTGTGTTGTGCACAAGGCCATAGTTCAGACGTGTCCGGTTTTACCTGGTCTTCCTCAGCGTGGTGCCGGCGCCGTTCTGACGTGGCGGCCTCTTGCGGGAGCCGCGGAGGCTCCTCTGCGCACCGCCGCCGTTCTCCGCAGCTGCCACGCCCGGGGTGAGCGGCCTGGAACGGCCGGAGCGTCATGACCCCGTCCGGAGAAGAGCCGCAGTCCGAGAGGGGAGCGGCTCGGGGGTGGGAGCGGCGCCACTGTCCGGGCGTAGGGAGAATAAGCACGAGGCTCATCAACTGTTAGCTCCTGACAGCGCCAACCAATAGTAACACAATACAGCGCCGATCGAGCTGCCTTAGAAACATGCTCACTTCAAGCGATCGGAGATAACACACGCGAAGGAAAATACGATGTATAATCAGAAATGATGGCGTTGGCTGTCTCCATCCCCAAACCGCGCTGACAGTCATGGACAACACAGTGGAGCCAGGCCGACTGCCAGCAGTGAGGCGCCGTTACTCAGCAGTATGGTCACAGCGGCGAGCCGAGCCGAGCGGGCAGTCAGATCCCGACCTACCCTGCACCGTTGTGCCGGCGCAACTCGGCTCCGGGCGTCAACAGCTCGTCCTTGACCAGGTGGCAGCTGACCACGGCGCTCGGGTCAGTCCGGTCATCGGGGCACGGAGCGGCGAGCTCGCTGCAAGGCCGACGGGTCAGACCAGAGATGCGGACTTAAGTATACCGCTGGCAGCCAGCCAGCGCCGCAAGCATTCAGCGATGATCGCGACTGACACGAGCATGATTTTGGCGCCACAATTGGGCGGCCATGCTGATATGGCTCGATATCGTCCTCGAGATCTGCACCTGTTTGCCCAATGTTCTTCAGCTTTTTCGCCATTTAAGATTTTGCGTGTTCCATCTTACTCGAGTAAAATCGAAGAGAAATTACAGATATATAGCGTTATAGTAATATTTTATGGGTCCATGGTCCATGGGGTTATGCTTTTTGCACAAGATTGCTACATGTTGCATGTACATTTACATTCCTGGCAAGAGCATTGCTATTTGACAATTCAGACGCGCAAAGCATTCCATTCCAATCAACCACGGTCGAAAAGACCGCCAGTCTCGATGCAAACAATCCCCTTACAAGTGTGGTAACAATTGCTGCAAACATACCCAGATTCCTGCAAACTAAAATGACCGATACATCTCTGTCCGCGACGCATGCTCCCACTGTCACTGAGCGGCGCAGAGCGCATACTGTAACCTACCCTGGACCGTTGTGTCGGGGCAGGTCGGCGACGTGCGGCGGCGTCTCGTCTTTGACTGGGCGACAGCTGGCCACGGCACTGGGGTCGGTGCCGCTGCCAGGGCGGAGAGCGTCGAACCCGCTGCAAGGGCGGCCGATGAAGGGGGCCGAGTCAGGCGGAGTCACCGAGCCCAGCAACACAGGTGACGGTCGGGGTTGTAGGGAACACAGACCCAAGTGTAACAGTGTCCTGGCAGGGGACGGTGAAGAGCGTGAATGGCAGACATACCTCATACTATGTAGTCTGTATAGGATACTGTGAGTTATGCAGAGTTTGTCAAGGTGGCAATCCATTCTCAGAAATATTTAAAGACAAAGGAAAGTGAATGGAAGGTTTTCTCTAAACATAAACATACCCATGTGACTGGAAGAAGTCAAGCAAAACCTTGACAACAATGTGATCTTCTTGCACATTTAGAAATTTCTTCACTGCATAGAAGCGATCATGCTCTCCATTAAAAAATCTGTAATGGGACATCATACCATTAATGTTTTGTACATTTGATGATAAGAACAAATAACCTAACCTTAGACTATCTCCAACTTCCTAAACCATTCAATAAACTTGACTTGCACACTGTTGGCAGTTAAACCTAACCAAACCAGCTCACCATCATTCAAATGTCATCCACAGCACTACACCTTGATACTGTCTGAATAATCACATGGGCCTCACTACAGAATAAGCAGACATTGCCTACCTGGCACCTCATCATCTTTCACAAGAATGCAGAGGGCAAAACATTGTCTGCCTTCAAAGCTAGGCAGCTGTGTTTGGCATGGTCTGTCTTAAGATGCACTGCATGTACTGGTCTTCAAGCACATTTCCCCACCTTTTCATCCACCTCCTGCTGTCCTGCTCCTGTTCTGCCTGGACCTGAGATGTGTTAGTGGCAGCTACAGAGGTGGCCCCAGACATGGCCCCTGGAGGTAGAACTTGTTCTCACATCTGGACCTGCTGAACAGCCAAGAAGTCTGCACATCCAGCATATATATATATATATATATATATATATATATATATATATATATATATATGTATATATGTATATATGTATATCATGATACATAATCATGGCCATTTTTTTATATTTCATCCACAGTCTCATATGGTGCAGTGGGCTGATGGGCACACATCAAACAATGATAACTGTACTGTGCCTTTGTTATGCTATCAATCCATTACTACTTCTTGACTAGGCTGTCAGTGTGACTTTTCTTAAAACCACGAATGTGCATTGCTCTATAATGAAAGGGCTTGAAATTCAGGATTTTCAGGGTATGTTTTACATTTGAAGATATTGAAGCAAGCATCAGATGATACCACAAGCTTACTTACAGCTATTGGTAGACTTTTAAATGGAAAAGACTGCTCCACACTACACAATTTCTATGTTGTTAACATGCTCCTCAGGGTGTCAATATTTGATTGTCATTGTACTTTGCAACATATTGATTGAGAGCCAATTGGCAGCCACTATATCTGGAAATCATGCTCATAAACACTAGATATGAGTGACTTAACCATTTTGTATTGGCCTTGATCACTGCATGGATTATGGAATGGCAGGATTTCAATAATGTTATTATGTCATGGATGTAAAGGCAGCCTAAAAATACTCTCCACAACTACTCTCCCACACCTTCACGGCCCCTAGGTTGCAAACCAGACATCTGAGGTCTTTGGAAGGCCATGGCTGTAAGCTGTATCAGAGGGTCTCCAATATGGTTGTTTCAGCTCGACACCACATACAAATGTGGAACACTTTCTTTTAGATTTGTGAGATCATTTTGTTGTAGATTATGGTTTTTTGGTGCATTGCCTGCAGAGGTCATATGGTGCCTGTTTGTGAGGCCATGGGAAGGCTTGCTCATATACACATATCATGCAAGACATAATTGTCTGGGTATGCACAACTTATACAAATGTTTGTTTACACTGAAAGGAAATAAGCAAACTTTTTTCCCTGCCACATGTGTACACTGCCCCATTATATGCTACTTTGTCATTAGAGCTCGGAACAGCACTTAGCCACCATCTGGATGACAGTACTACCAGACATGTGGCCAAAAATTGTCAGGGTGGGCTAACATAGTACTTTTTCTGCAAGCATGAATTAAGACCAAATTCCCATGGACAGCACCATTATCTGGTGTAATTGTCAGTAGGTGAAGAAAACACGAATAAGGTGAGCACATAATTAACCCTAGGATGCGTCCATTACGGCAATGGGCGTACAAAGGAATAATTTGCTGTATTTATAACATGAGGGGCCAAGCATAACTGTGCATAGTTTTGCAATGGCACCAGTCAACGATATTTGTTATCCTTTAAAATATGTAATAAGCGATTTCAGGAGCAGAAATGCTCACGCACATTTAATACCCCAACGCATTTAGCACGAAAGTTGTACAAGCACCTGAAAGAACCTCACCGACGCAAAACATGTAAACACAAGTCAGACAATTGCAGCGCATCGGCGGCAGAAATGCATAGCCAGGGACTAAAAGATCGACATACCCAAAAGACCTATCGTTCACAAATATTTCTCATTTAACCACTTTAAAGTCATGATTAACCCATTAAACATGAGCAATTGAACACGATGATAGTAGTATTTTAACCCGAAATACGGTCAAATGCCTAAAAAGCAATGAAAGAGCTATTCGTACAAAAAAGATACTCGAATATTATAGCCTAATCCCGAAACGTAACGTGTTTCGGCTACCTCCAGACATTAAACATTCAATGCACGACAGTTTGCTTCCTCTGGTAGTTGTGCAATCTGTGAGGCTGTGTGAGTTCAAAATTCAGAAATGGTTGTAAGTTCCAAAATTCATACCTTCAGAAAACTGAACCAACTCAGGTATGAGAACCTAGTGCGCCGATCGCCACGAAACCTTCCCCTGCTCGAATCGTGATACATGATTCCCTGTGCTGTTACAAATGTGGTGACCCTAGGTCAGGTCAAATCGGTCGGCAATATTAATTGGTCGTCGGCCGACATCAGTTCTTTTTAGCTATGACCTTTTTGTTCAAATTACCTCTTTAAGGTCCTTCGTTAGCTGCGCCCGGTCCTCTTCTTGCCGCGATCGCCAAAATACGGCAGCCGTAAAAATGGGCGCGAAGTGCGCGAAGAATAAGATTATGTGCATGCGATACCTTTCTAAAAGGTTGTCAGCTTCCAGTATGGCCTGCTTGTTCGCTTAGGGGATCTGTTGAGAGTGCTACACATTTGTATGGGCTTTTGAACTGAAATGACCACCTTGAAGATCATTCGGTGCAGTTAACAGCCCTCCCCCTCTTAAAACCTAAACCACCCTACTTCCTGAGCTAGACGCCCGCAGAGATGTGCAGATTATATCGGGGAGACTATGTCAAGGTCACTCAGACACCCCTGACGTCATTACAACTTCATTCAAATCCATCCATTACATTGGCTATGCGACGATGAAGGCCGAGACAAGTGTAATCGTTGAATTGTTGATATCAGTGAGCACAGTCATGAATAGCATTTCCTTTAACAAAATCAATGCATTTTTTCGTAGCAGCACCACGAACCTTTAATCACAGTATTAGCCTTTTGGGCTTACCTCCTTACCTGCAGCATGTTCCTACATTCCTGCTACACGTGCGCGCATTTTGCACTTCACGGCGAGCATTAGGAGTGGAAATCATGATGCAGCATGCGTGGGATACATTTTTTCATTAGAAGTATGACTGCCATTCACTTTGAAATACAAGTGTTGTGTGGCACTAATGTCACCTATAAGTTTTTGCATTGGGGGTAAAGGGTGTGTAAACAATGACTGTTAAGTGTTTAAATTAGGAGTAATGACGGTTTAGCTTTTCGAAACATAAGCGTTATCGTGTAGCACTTTATGTCGCGTATGAGTCTTTGCAGTAGAAGTAATGTCGTATATCAGTAATGCCTGTATGAAGTAATGTCGTATATGTAATGCCTGTTTTTGCAGTAGGAGTTATGGAAGTTAGCTTTTTATGGACACATTTTGCCTTGTAGCACTCATGTCACGTTTAAGTCTTTGCATTGGAAGTAATGGCGTGCATAAGTAATGACTGCACACGTTTTGCAGTAGAATTAATGATAACTATACATCTTTGCAGTATAAGTTTTGTCGCATAGACCCATGTCGTTTATAAGTGTTGGCGGTAGAAGTAATGCCGGAGTACTTCTGTCGCTAGAGCTTTTTTGTAGCACTTATGTCATGGAACCCCCGAAAGCACTTCACTCAAAGTTGGTGGGCCGGCCGCAGCGGTGATTTGCAGATACGATTTGCACACACAAATTCCGATTCAAAATACTTTTACTTTTGCGCGTAGGATGTAACCATGCGCACGTGATATCATTGTGTAAGCATTATCGGACGACAATGTAGGTCGCTCGCGGGCTATATGACCTTTTCGGCTCAAATCACCCGCCACGGCGCATTGCTGACTACTGCCGGCTCTCCCGTAGCGTGACTACCAGAACACGGCGGCCCGGGAGAAAAAAGTTGCAATCGCGCGCGAAGGGCGCGACATTGTGCATTTGATGGATCTGGCAGTGCTGTCATCTGCCAGAACAACATACTTCTCAGGTTAGCGAATCTTTTTTATTCGGTCCCCCCTCCCCCCCTCCTGCCTACAGATCATCACCCAATGCTCGTGGGTTGTCCGCAGCAGCGCTTTGCAAAGCTACAGTGTCTGATGTAAAATGCTTTTGCTTGTGTGCGGAGGGTGCAACAATGCGCACATGATGTAACTGTGGGAGCGCTGTTTGCTGGGAAAGCAAATTTCTCATCCCACTGAGAGAGCATGCCACAGGGCGCAGCAGGCGAGACATTGCGACCGACAGCCGAGAGATCTTCCTCCTCTGCAGCCCAGCCAGGGCGTTCGCGTGGCCCCTTCACCGGCCACGGGACAGACATGGAAAGAGGCTACGCTGGTTGCGCAGCACAGCGACCGTTCCTACTGCGTGGAGGGCATGGTGACCAATTTAAGATGCTTTTAGTCTTGCGGGTCGGGTGGGGCCACGAGCACAAGATGTCAGCGTATGAGCACTATCCGCCGACAACGTAATCGCCCATCGGCCGACATGGTTTTTTTGTTGAAATCACTCCTTTAAAAAAGGCCCATGCTAACTGCGGTCAACCCGCCCGCCCCGTGGAGGCCAAAATACGACGACTGGGAAAAACACGGCGCGGGGTGAGCGAAGAGTGTCATGTGCATGACATACCCTTGTATGGGTTTGCCACCTGCAAGTTCAACACATTTTTTAGGTTATGAAACACATTTTATTCGGTCCACCCACCACAATGTCACTCAATGCTGGCCGGCCGGCTACAGCGAAGATTTGCAAAGATATGATGTCCTCTTTACAATGCTCTTACTCGTGCACGAAGGGTGTAACCATGCGCACACCATTTCATTGACGGGACACTATGGGCCGGAAAGAAGCAGTAAATTGCTCTTTGGTCGATGGAACCTACTTTGGTCAAATTGCCTTTGATAGTGCATTGTTAGCTGCGCCCGGATGTGCCCGTGAGATAAGGGATATAATATAGCGACTGGGAAAAATACTTCTATCGCGGAGGAAAAGTGCAAGTGTGTGTGTCCTTTTTCATACCATCCAAGTGTTCACTACTTCTGTGACGCTCAAGGATGTTATTTGATATTCATTTAGGGAACTCCAGCTCCCTACCCAAAAAAACCTCCACCCCTATACACTTTGAGAGGAAAATAAGTCAAATCCGTGGGCATATCTGCTTTTGGCTTTTTCAACTGGGAAATATATTTAGCCAACTATCCCTGCTCGGCCCCAAACAATTTTTTCAAAACTGCACCAATTGGGGGCACTGGTAGTGGGAGCGAATGTCAGGAGACTTTGAAGACAGGGGAGGCTCTTGAGCAGCGATGCTTCAAAATGCTTCTCTAGTTACCGAACACTGGTGGGGCATGCACGGGTACGGACACGAGCAGGGTAAAACCCATTTTACATCGACCAGTCACAACTGGCGTATAGCCATGACAACACGGTGCCCGGATGAAAAGTCAACTGGGAAAGTCAAACAGAAAAGGCCGAACGACAAATGGTCGACAGGGATAAAAGTAGAATGTGATAAAAATGGCATCGGGACAAAGTAAAAATAGTGAGCTCGAATCGTTTTTGATCTGAGGTGGGGATTGAGAGATTTCACCGTAAAAATAGCACGCAGGAGTAAAACATTAAATTCACAGAAGCTGTATCTCGTGAGTCAGAGAGAGATGAGCTGGTTACCAAAGAGACGTATTTTAATTAGACATGGAAGCAGTCTAGCTTAGGCAGTGTCAATAGCATTATTCCTCGTATAATAATCATGAGAATGGAGAGATAGATGCATTGGTATTTCGGCTACATGCCTTTATTGAAACCAATATCAGGACAGAATAGATTGAATATAGCAAACAAGTCGACCAATCATGACAACACAACTCGGTGTCCAGGCATGACAATATATAGCAACAACAAAGCCATAACAGCACGGTGTCCGGACAAAAGTCAAATGGAAAGTCGAATATCATAAGGTAGAGCTTTCGTGAAGTGAATTTTTCACTCCTGATGGTCTTTTTGTGGTGAATTTTCTCCGATAGTCGATATGATACTGATATTGTCGGTATAGTTGGTCCTTCTGAAATTCATTTCGTTAAAGGGATGAAGCCGAAACATCAATGCATCTATCTCTTCATTCTCCTATTCTACAAGTGATAAGGCTATCAGCGCTGTCTATCGATGTGCATAATGTTCCTCGCAAATGCATTTAACACCTTATGGGAGTGATATCATGAACATGACAAAAAGTGCTTTTGTTTTCTCATATTTTGGATTATTACACCGACACGTAATACGTAAAAGTAGTCTCGTTATAGTGTAATGGGCAAAAGAACTTCGTACTACTATTGTTTTGATACTATGATTTGCACTTCCCTTCCGCAAGTTTTTTTTTTACACAAAATACGGACCCGAATCATATTATGCTCCTCTCATTTTCAGCGTCAAAGATCCATCCAAGGATCCTCCACTGAACCCATTCAGTTCCCGACAGGATACAGCCCTGTTCATCAAATCCCATTGAAGATTCTGACATTCCGGGCGCAGATTGAACGAAGCCAGTTACCTGTTCGCGTTAACTGCATCGAGCTAGGAGATCAACGTCTTTCGGTCATATCTGACCGGCTGTAGAATTAAAATTGCTGCTGAGCATGAACAGGTCACCCTTGCAATGGTTTCGCATCATATAGGGTGAATGAAGCCGAGCACTTCTGGTACGTCATCCTCATCGTGTGTGTGCGTCCGGCGCAGGCATCTGTCAGCAGCCTGTCCCGAAATTGCACTGCGTGCCTATGTGGCATATGCATATAGGGCAGTGCAGCATCGAGTAAAGACGTTCCATATTGTCTGGCAAAAACCGCGATGTGCATCGAAGCATTCAACGCTGATGATTTGTGCGTTCCTTTTTAGCATATGACGATGCATTTCATTCAGCATGTAGGTCAGGTGGCGGGCGTTTGTCGCTCCATGTGGTCGCATGATGTATCCTCATTTATGACAGAATGCGCACAGGGATGGGCCGACGGGCGTTTTGTGGAAATGTATGCATGCAGAGTTTGTCATGCTTCACTATCACGGCTGCTTGCTAATTAAGCGTTAGTGTGCCGCCTCAGAGTATGCGTCAAAAGAGGGGTTTGATCAGCACGAACGGAATGGCCTGCTCGCTCACGCTCAATACTCTGCTATGCTGCTGCATTCTATCGGTCAAGACACCAACACCTGAGAGTTCTTTTAGTTCTTAAAAGAACTCACGCTCCATCTGTCCTCTACAGCTCTCCCTCTCACTCGCAGCATGGACGCAACAACGCACCCTCTAGCCTGCGTTATGTCATTGCACATGCTACAAGACTGTGCCACGGCTAATGCTGTCTTCTCAGCAAGCACGAAAAAAAAACTCGCGTTCACACGAATAGGAATTGGACGCAATGATCGATCGCGGCAGCGACTCATCGAATATTGAGATAGATTGCTCACTGAAGCGACCAGATCGTGGACACAGGCGAATCCAGGAGAGGCACCGGGTTCAGAGAGCTGGAGTCCCCTGCTCAACTTTGGAAAGAAAGTGTGTCGAATCTGAGGGGAAATCCATTTCTTGGCATTTTAAAGCTGTGGTGAGTGATCCATTTTCCCTCCTACTCCGCGCCCTTTCCCACCTCCTCCGACTAATTTTCCGAGAATACGTCCTTCCCCGAATTATCAGAACCCTTTAAAGGCCATCCTGGCTGAAGTCAAGCACCATAGTTTGCTGCGTGGAACGAGTCCACACGATGTGGATGGTTTAGGGTTTCATAACGCACGCGCAGGCTCGCTGTCGACACAACAGTCGCTCAACAGACGCCGTCTGCTGTCCTGCGGCCGCCCTTTGTACACTGTCACTCCCCTTCCCCAATGTAAAACGCCGGCAATACCGAAGCTGCTCGCCGCCGCGTAGCCATCGAGAGCCAAATGGTGCTGCGAAACAGCAAAGACCTTTATTTTGGCGTCGCGTATAGTCCTTTTACGCAGTAGCTTTCCCAGGAAGCTACCTTACCGGTCAATAGAAGGTCACAAGGAGTGTAACGTAGGCTCTTTGGTTCATGAACTACGGTCTTCGCAATTTAGAAATGACATGCTATACAATTTAAGGTATCTTAGACTTAACTTGTAGCTAACTTTATTGACTTCTCTAGCTGTTTCTTGCCTGCGACTCGAGTCCGTAAGTCAAATCATGAAATTATTTTATATGAAATACGTACACCAGTGGGGATTACTTCTCGCCCCCTCGCACATGTAAGAATAGCCGTGCATCGCTGTATGATTTTAGTTAAAGCACCGCCTATTTCCCGCGATTTCGCTATTACCATGCCTGCGGCAAGCCCCGCCCTCCCGCGAGCAACGCCCTTGATTGGTCTCAATAGCGGACCGCTCGCTCCGCCAGCCAATCAGAGCAGAGGCAAAATCGGCGGTCGGTGCCACTTGGGTTCGTTGCACTGCCCCGGCGGCTGTAGCGCACGGATGGCGTCCGTCTGTGCGGCATCAGTGCTTCCCGCCTTCTGCTGCGTTCGTGACGGAGGACTGCGCGGTCCAGCTTCCAGCGCATCAGTCAGAAGGTGCTGCTAAGCGCGGAGTTCGAGTCCACTCTCATGGCTGCTTGCTACACGCCAGCAGGTTTAGCGTTCGGCTCCGGCTGGGGCCCCGCCGACACGCCGTACCACGCCGGCTACGGCGCTGGCTACGGCGCCCACGCCACACACGGCCTCCTGCGGTGCGCGCCAGCCGCGCTCGGTGACTTCAGCTACGCCGGCTACGGCGGCGGCGCGCCGTACCCGTCGTCGTACGCGGCGTACGGGGCCGGCTGGGGCGGCGGCGCGGCAGCTGCGGCTCCCGACCCTCCCGAGCGATGCCGGTGGCGGCAGCCCATCACCTGCCTGTGGCGGCACCAGGAGGCCGTGTGCGGCCGTGTGCTGCGCAGCGGGCGCGAGGCGGCCGCGCACCTGGCCGAGCTGCACGTGGGCGCGGCGGGAGCGGGCCAGCCGCGCTGCCACTGGCGCGGCTGCCCGCGCGCCGGCCAGCCATTCCAGGCCAAGTACAAGCTGGTAAACCACCTGCGCGTGCACACCGGGGAGCGGCCGTTCGCGTGCCCGGCGCCTGGCTGCGGCCGTGTGTTCGCCCGCTCCGAGAACCTCAAGATCCATAAACGGACGCACACAGGTCAGTGACAGCTCCGACGGAGACCAGACCGGCGCTGGTGGTATATCCAGGGTTCTGGCGGAAACCAGGGCTTCAGGGCTTCTCAGAGCTCAGGACTTCATGGCTCAGGGCTTCAGGGCTCAGGACTTTAGGGCTCTAGTGTGTTCGGTGAATACGTCCGTTATCGTTATATACGTCGTCTGAGACAAGTAGCCCCTCTGGGATTTCAGTTTGAGCACCTTCTGATAAGCATCACGCATTGCACTTTTTATGACGTAACGTTTTTGAAGCGTGCCCGACACGCGTCCGATGCGCTAAAAAAAACGGCTGTGTGAACAGATCATTTAGAAGTGCGTTATTAGGTCACTTATATATAAATCAAATAAGCAAAAACTCTTAACAGAAAAAACAAATGCATGGCTGTAAAAAGGCAGTAAGCCAAAATAATGAAAACTCAGCGGAAAACAATAAAAACGAGAGGGTTCAAAGGCGATAACTCAACTAAGGAAGATGTCAAAATTGATAAAAGTTACATGAATCCAGCTGGAAAGGCAGATGTCCAAATGAAAAAAGAGCAAAACAAAGAAGATCCCGGAGGAAACAGGCAGCCTGAAAAATTTATCTCAGCGGAACGTCAAGGTGCTTTAAAATGACGCAGGTGGTTCCCGGAGCAGAAGACCGTGCTGGACTCATTCCACGCAAGAATCAGAGAAACTCTCCGCCTTCCGCCTGAATCATCGCGCGCCAAGACATCTGACCTCGCACGGGGGCCTTCCGATGCTGTCGGGGCTTTATTAGTTTATCTAATCGATTCTTATCGGGGGCCTTTAGATTCCGATCCAAGCATGTCCCGATCTTCCGACCCGGGACACTTCTGCGCCTTCAGTGCAGTCACGAGGCCGCCAATTGGCTGGGCCCCACGAGCTAAGCGGAGGTGGGACTCCCCCCCCCCCCTCTCCCAGCCCCGTCTCCTGGACGAACAATTGACCAAGTGCCTTAAGTGCATGTGTAAATCTCATGAAAGCCAAAGCGTTTGACCAGCACAGGTGTATTTTGACTGATAACCTGTTCTGCTTTTTCCATTTGATTCCTACTTGCTTTGACTTTTTGCTTACTTGATTTTTTACATTGTCTTTTTGTCTTTTTGCCTTTCTGGCATCTGCCTCTTGTCAGCTCGACTTTTTACCTTTTTTAATTTCATCCCGTTTGATTTCTTGCTGCTTTGTTTTCCATCCATTGACTTTTTGTCCCATGTTACCCATTTTGGCAGGGCGTAAGGCTGCCAAACCAAACTTATTGCTGGGTGCAAGCTGTTTGCTAAAGTATTAATATCCGTTTGCACAGTTAATCACTACTGCCACTTATTCAAGATCCAACTGCGTAATATAAACATAACAAAATCAGGGCAACCCCGAAATCATAATGCAATATCATATAGACATTGTGATGTGGCTTCGTTTTCTCGTTCAATACGTGCCGCATATATGTTTGGGACATCTGTCATAGGCGGTGACTGCAGATATGTTCGGGGACATCTCTGCCGTGGGTTTGGCAAGCTGCATTAAGGATGCAGACATTCTAGAGCAATTAAATTGCCTGTCAGCTTAGCATCGCATTTCTTCGTTAGCAGAATGTTATCGAATTTTGCGTAAGCAAATTTTCGTACAGAAATATTCGCATGCTTCCATTTTTGTATCCACAGAAGTTCGCTGGCGGAAAACTTTTTATATGAGATTCTTCGCATCTCATGTATTCTTATGTACAATTACTTTGCATGAGTGACAACAAGATAAGTGAGACAAGTGAAAGGAAACCGATAAGTGAAACAAGATAAGTGATAACAAGGGCCGGGCCTGGGTCTCAACGACACGACGGCGCTGCGGCACGAAACTGATACGAACGGAGGAGAATTAGCAATGGTATTGGAAAAACTGTGCGTTTACCGTCTGTGTGCAAACCAGCACGCAGTATAATGCAACAACCTTGAATCCATCTGTTTTTCCACGTTGCAGGGGAATGTACCGGCTACAGACAGTTGATGGATACCAAAGCTGTCCGACCCACAGGTGCGCCAATCATTGACCGGAAAGCGATCAACGACGCCATCTGCAAAACCGACCTCAAATACGAGATGCAGTCGCTCAAACCGAGAAACTAGGCCCTAACAATTAGGCAGGCATATAGGTGTTGTACAGTGTGCAAAATACATACTCTGCAGGGATGAGTTGTAAGTATTCGAATACCTTGCTCATCGTGCCAAAGTTCGATTCAAAACAATGGCAGTGTTTGCAGTCTTCAGTCACAATCGTTCAAACCGTAGATCATTGCAAATTAATGGTTGTCATGGATAAGAATACCTGGCCCGCCCATAGCCTGCCAATGTTCAGAAACGTTATTTCTGAGTTCCGCGCGCGACTACCACTACATCGGTGTGCTTCCGGCTGGTAAATTTGTGTGATGCATTTAGACACATTTGTTTAGCCAATAGGCATCGGTTACGAAGGTGATTGGTTCAGTGAGCTTAGTTTCCGCATAGTCTACCTAATTACAACTGACAACTCTTACATCAGCCATCTGCTCACTCTCACATGTCACGCGCGGAGCCTTACTAGCGCATTAACACGTCTTTAAGTATACTGGCACGTTTCGGTTCTGCATCCGTGGTTGCTTTTTGTCTCCCGAGCAGATAGGCACCCCACAAACGACTGTACTGTTTAGCGTCTGCTTACTGAAGGCACCCAACAATCAACTGTGCTGTTTAGCGTCTGCTTACTGAAGGCACCCAACAATCAACTGTGCTGTTTAGCGTCTGCTTACTGAAAGCACCCAACAATCAACTGTGCTGTTCAGCGTCTGCTTACTGAAGGCACCCCACAAACGACTGTGCTGTTCAGCGTTTGCTTACTGAAGGCACCCCACAAACAACTGTGCTGTTCAGCGTCTGCTTACTGAAGGCACCCCACAAACAACTGTGCTGTTCAGCGTCTGCTTACTGATTAATGAACACCCACGAGAACACGGTATTTCGATCCCATTTTGATATTTGTGTGACACATTGAGCCTCGTCTTACCAAAACAATGCATGCTTCATTGTATCATCGCGTGTAGTTGGGTGGGCACCACCCCCTCCTTATCCATCTTTACCGTCAACACGTACCTTCGCAACCCGCCAACTTCGAAGGGGAGTAGGTCAAACCCGTGGTGAGGTTCGTCACCATTCATAACGTCTCGAAGGTGTTTGGCCATTTTCACCTTCTAAAGGTAAAGCCAGGTCGGTGACCTGATATGAACACGTGTGACCTTTTTCTAGGAGAACTTGTCTAGCTTAAAGCTGGTTACGTGGGGAAATTTCAAAGGTACTTCTCACACCGATCTGATGTTCGACCAGCGGTGGGCAAAATTAACGCGAAATTGAACTACATTTGAAGTCAACCCGTTATATCGTCAAAGGAGCCAACGGAAATTAAAGCCTCCGTTAATTCTTATAGATGTTTTCCGATGCCCGATTTAGGCCTCTTTGACCCAATTAGATAGGCAAAATAGCTGAATTATACCGTTTGTTGTCCAAGCATTGTATTCGGACTCTCTGTTAAACAAAGAGAGTGCTTGCATTTTGCTTTCGTACCATTGTCCTGGCGGGTTATGAACTAGAATCGATGATTAGCTGCAGTTTAGGATTCGAGTATAGGGATTTCGATTCCGATTCTCTATTAGAATAGACTGGAATATATTAGAATATATTCGAATTATTCCATAGAAACCTCTAAGCTATAATGCTGTAGAATCTCCACATCTAAACTGAATGTCGCTGGCTTCTGGCTAGTTAAGTTTAACGCTCCTGTTAATGGTACGCAAACACTATACATTTCTAAATTCGCCAAACTAATAGAACGACGCATTAACACCAGCCAATACCCCGTTGTGTACGAGTACAATCCGCAGTTTTAGCCTTTCGGGATCTTTTTGTGCCAAAGCCATAGACTTCCCTGTGCCATACGTAGTGAAGAAGTCTTTAGGGAAAGTGTGGCAAGGCAAGCATGGTCTCCTTTCCCCTACATGTAAATTTTCACACAGCATAAAAATGAGCTCAAAGCCATGCCGGACATGAAACCCTTGCAAGGCGATACTTCAATAAGGGGGTACAGGCTTAATCCGGTAGAGGCTGGTCCCATTAGCCATCTTACACTCTATAGGGCTGGGCCTTAACACGTCGGTATTCGACGAGCTCTTTACGTAGAACGCGTTAGATGGGTACAGAGGTGTCAATCCACCAACTTCCATTTAGAGCGTTAGCGACTGTGAAAGCTAGTGACAATTATCTTTTTTTATTTGGAGGTTTATGAGGACATTGTCTACTGAGGCCATTTGGCGCTGGATTGTGCCGTTTGCTGAGCGTTAACCGCTAAAAATATATGCCCTGCAGCCGGTTAGTGCCCAGAAAGTTCAGCATCTGATGGGGTTCTATTTCAAGGTGTTTCCCGATTGCTGATGCCAATGTCTCATTCCTACGCGTGCCAACATGAAGCTTGTCAGCGTCCACCACCGTTTGCACATAACTTACATCCCTAAACCCCCTTCCTAAACCCTTACTAACAAACCCCCTTTCCTCGAATCCTTTACATGCTTAGAAGCCCCACCGCCAATTGTGCACAGATTAACCCTCAAACTCATTAAAAAATTTGCTGATGAAGGTAATGGTTTCAAAATTAACAGGCAGAAACTTGATGTAGATTAGTAATTCCGCTAAAACTTCGACGCTCACGAAAACTTTGATCCGTTAAAGAAGTGATTAAGTGGTAGATTGACGGATTAGCTGTTCAAAGGTAGTGTTTCACATTTGCATGGGGTTTTCAACTGGACTAGCCATTAGGACGATCATGACGTGCAGTTCACAGCCCTGCCCTTCTTAAAATCTAAACTGTTCTAGTTTCTGAGCTACACGCCCGCGAAGACGTGCAGATTATTCCGGGGAGTTTGTTTCAAAGTCACCTAGGCATCCATGACGTCTTGAACACGTAATT